TTGTGACTGTTATCGAAAAGAAGGGTGGCTATATTGGTCACTGAGGTTTTCTGTTTGGAATTTCAGAACTGTTTATTTGTAAATTATGAGTTTGTTTATTATTCTCACTTTAACAGGTGAAAATAAATGATGGAAAAATCTTTTTTTCTTTAGTTGCATGATAATTCTGCACACTAATAGTTGCCTAATAATGGTGTACATGTAGATATTCTCTTAGGAAAGCCAAAACTTCACTTTTACTACTTAAATGTTCAGGTTTGAGGGTTTGTTAACTCTGTGGATTGACCAAGAGCACTGTAGTTGTGCAATAACAAAATTAATCCTCAAAAATACAACTTGCCTAATAATTGTGCACACAGTGTACAGTTCTTTCACCTTTGGGGAAGAGGAGACCAACATGGAGGGCAGTTTTGACTTTGGGCCTTTTGAAGTCCTCTGCTGGAGTAGCTATGGCTGTATGCACATCTGTCCGGGGCAGGGGTGTGGGGATGTGGTGGTAGTTACACTAAACCTTCCCCCATCCTCCCACCTCTTTTGTTTTGTGTGGTATTTAACAAAAATAAACATCAAAACAGTCTAGTCTAGAAAACTTTTTACTGGTTGTACTCAGTTAGACCTGTTGATCTCTCAGGCTGGACCAGACCTGGAACTGTCAGCTGGATTGGTGAGTGGTCACTATCTGACTGGTCATGAGATGGAGATTTCATCTTCATCAGTCCCCAGTTCCCTCCCCCGCCAGTCATCCCCCGACAGGAGAACTTGTGGCGGGCCAGGAGCCGGGGGTTCCAGAAGCGGTGTCGGCATTTGTGGCACTGGAATGCAGCTTGTTTAAGATGCTGGCCCCTGTGTTTCAAGGCTTTGTGTAATGAGCTGGTGCGTCTTCCGCACACCTGGCACCGCAGTCGAGCATGGCGGCCTGAGTTTCTGGGTGGGTGCCGGACAGCGTGGTGAACCAGCAGAGAACCCTGCTTTGCGTATGTGGTGCTAGGGCAGATCGGGCAGGGGAAGCGTTTCACAGGGACATCCATGGAAGTGAGCCCCATGACTCTGACAGCACCTCCACACCATGACTTCACTTTCATCACACCACCTTTTATCCTCAGCTGGGCCAGGAGCTTTTTTTTGTTGAGCTGTGCCTGCAGTTTGCCCCTCTTCTTCCTCAGAATCATCAGCTTCCTGCGAGTGTCCTTACTCAAAGGCACACCCACCAGCTTTCCATCTCTCATGATGCTGTGGATCACCACTCGCCTTTTTTTCTTTCGATGCTTTCTCATCTGTCCATGGCGCTTTTGGAAGTTTTTTGAGCGGTAGTGAAAAGGGTGCTGCTTCTCTCAGAACTGAGTTTTTCATAAAAAGCTGCTGCTGCTGCTGCTGCTGGTGGTGCTGCCCAGTGGCCCCCTGTTGCATGTGAGATGACCCAGCGTAGTTGGAACCTGAACCTGAATCGTAGAAAAGGGGCGAGTAACCAGAGGGCTGGGACTGGTTGACACGCTGGCCGTTGCGGTCGATGCCATGCTGCGACAGTTTGTGCCGCACTAAGCTGTTGGAGTAGGCAAAGGCTTTGCCACAGACTTCACAACGAAAGGACTTTTCCAGCCCTACCCCGCCACCATGAACAGTCTGCTGATGTGCTGTCAGGTGGAAATAGTGGCGGAATGATTTCCAGCACACTGTGCAGGTATAAAGTCTCTGGGAGGGGGTGCCAGATGTTGGAGACTTTTCCTCTTGGGAGCAAGATGAGAAGTAGTCAGAGTTTCCTGAGTTGGCAACCTGACTGATGGCGGCAGCAGCACCTTTTATTCTCCTCCCCTGGTTGTCGATCTCCCCTTTCCTGTGCAACTTCCCGTGCCGGACCAGGCTCTGTGCATAGGCAAACATCTTCCCGCACAGGTTGCATTTGTAGTTCTTTTGACCAGAGTGCACGGTCAGATGCTTGGTGAGGTGGAAAGGCTCTCGGAACATTTTGCCACATACGTCACAGGCGTGAGGCTTCTCCCCTGTGTGCACACGGTTGTGGCGTCGCAGGGTCTCTGCCCTTCTGAAGCGTTTGCCACAGATCGGACATCCGTACGGCCTCTCTGAGCCGTCCCCTGGAGGCGCAGGGCTCCTCCTCCTCCTAATGATGGTGCTTGGGTCTCTCTTCTCTCTGGGCTTCCTCGGCCTCCTGGGCTTTGTGTGGGGCTGGCTGGGGTGTGTTAAAGGCATGGTGGAACCGTTGAGGCTTGACGTGGACGACGGTCCACCCATGTTACCAAACCCCAACCCCCCCAGCAAGCCACCGATTATATCCCTTCTTTCTCCTTCCCGGCTTTCTGTGTTGATGTCACAAGAGGCTGCAGCTGCAGCAGCAATGGCTGACATCGCGCTGCTAGTGACTTCATCCTCGGAATCATCCAACAGGGAAGAGAGGGGGAGGTGTGGCTGCTGCTGCTGCTGCTGACTCTGAGGGTGCGGATGGAGAGTTGGAGCTAAAGGGGCTTTGCGGAGAGTCTGGCCGGTCATTCCAGTGGTTAGCGTAGTCTCTGTGGAGAAGAGAGAGGAGGACTGTGATCGTCTGTAGTCGTCAACCCCGCTGTTGTAGGATGACGGATTCTGGTAGCGATTTCTTGAATAATCTGTTGTATATTTGTCATTAGCCATTCCTGCCCCATTGTTTGAAATTCCTACCCTGTCTTCACTGCTTCCCATTTTACTGCTGCTTAAGTTTGATGATCCACTCCCTCCGGTGCCACCCCGGCTTTTTGAACTCCGAGGAGGTTTGCCACAGGCACCTGAAGCTGCGTGGTTAAGCAGGGAGGTGCTCTCACGAAAACAACGCCCACAAGCTGGGCAGCGAAAAGGCTTCTCATCGTGGATCTTCTCATGTCTCGTAAGTGACTCTCGACGGTTAAATGACTTTTGGCAGATGCTGCAGACAAAAGGCCGGGTTGTTGAGTGGGTGACACTGTGCTGGATGAGGTGACCTCTCTTTTTAAATCTCTTCCCACACTCACCACAGCAGAATATCCTCTCTGGGCTGGGGGAGTTACAGTCCAGCTTCCTGTTTTGGCTTTCTGATGTCAAGCCATGGCTGCGGAGATGCCTTCGAAGGCTCGAGAGGTGGGTGAAGGTTTTACCGCATTCCCCGCAGTGGTAGAGGGGTTCTGGTTCAGGTTGGCCTGAAGAACTATTACTGTGGCTTTCTTGGGGTTTGGACAGCTGTTGATTACCGTTGGCTACAAGCACAGAAGTGGAGTTTGAAGAAGGAGGGGCAGATGATGAGGAGGAGACAGCGGAGGATGACTGCTGTTGCTGTGAGGACGATGAGAGCAGGGAGGAATGCTGCTGCTCGCTTCCGATGCCACCTATCCCAACACCCCCGGATCCTCCTCCCACAAGGCCTGATGAGGAGCTCTGACTGTGCCCACTTGAGCTGCTGTTGTGGCAGTTGCTAACACTGCTGCTGCTATGGCTGTGACTACTACTGTCTGTTTTCCTCTGGGGTAAGTAGCCTGCCATCGCTTTCTTTCTCCTGCTTCCTCCACTTGAACCTGACGTAGATGAGCTATCTCCTGACTTTGCTACATCATCTTTAGAGAGGGACAGGTGAAGAGGAAGGGGGAGGGGAAGGCCTGGCTCTTGCTGCATTAGCGATGCTATCTGGTTGGAGGATAGGACTGGAATGCCTTGGAAATCAAAGCCACCTAGTGGGGCAGGCTGGGGGGCTGGGTGGAGAGGGTGGGGGTGGTGAGTGTGGCTGTGTGGGTGAGATAAGGCATGAGGGGTCAGCTGCTGCTGTTGCTGCTGAGGCTGTGGAGCTGTGTGGCTGTGGGAGGAGTGGAGGGCAGGTGGAGGAGCAAGGGCCGAGTTTGACTCGGAGGCCCCCTGGCCGAGGCCCAAGCCCAAGTGGTTGTGAGTGCCCTGCTGGACAAGGAACTGCTCCAGGCTGCTGTTGGTGGGGACACCGGACAGGAAATACTGGTTGGCAGCAAGCATGCAGCTGAACTGCTGGTGGAGGCTGCGGGGATCTGACTGGCCCACTAAGGGGACAGCCGTGCTGCTGGAGGGGTTGTTGGAGGCTGAAGTAGATGTTGAGGGAGAAGGCGAGGAAGAGGAGGGACCAGGTGAGGGCTGGGGGACAGAGAGACCTGGATGCAGAGGGGGAGGTGGAGGCGCAGGTGTGACAACACCCCCTAAGACCCCTGCGCCTCCTCCACTGCTGCCCCCACCAAAATCAAAACGTCCCATCCCAGAGTGGAGTTGCTCCTGGGCCAGTGCAGCCTCAGCTGGGTGGAAAGGCCGCAGAAACTGGGGGTACCCCGACGAGGAACTCCCACTGCTGCTGCTACTGCTCATCTTACTGGACTTCCTGGAGCTGTGAGATGAAGAGGATGACTGGCTCTGATGGGAGATGGATGGGGGAGGGGCACTCATTTTGGCAAACAACGATGATGAGTCAGCAAATGCATTACTCCGAGAACTCTGGAGGGATCCGAGGCCAAGGCCAGACAGGAGGCTCCCAGAGGTGTCAGCGGAGGGCTGGTGCTGCTGCTGGAGCTGCTGCTGATGCTGTAGTTGGACTTGCTGTTGGTGGCTCAGTTGTCGGTCCAGTCCAAGGCCTTTGAACTGATGGGCTTGGTGTCCACTTAGCATCTCTAAAATGTCCATGGGGTACTTGCTGAACTGAAACATCTCCCAATGCAAATGTTGCAAAGTGTCCTGGCGCCACAACTACCCTGTGCACCGAGTATACAACTGCTGCAAACAGCAGTGACCTCTTATCGAACCAGTTCTGATTTTCAGAAGTGGTCGTGCAGTGATTTCTACCCCAAACTTCCAACAAGCTGCAATAATCCACCAAAAGCTGAAGCTTGTTTTCCCTCACATAAATGTGACACTAATATTTTTACTCTCCAGTCTGGAGTTAAGCTTTCAAGTGCTTCTGTGGGATGATATAAAAAGAGTCATAAATAGGTAATTAGTAAATTATCCTAAAAAACAGCCTGTAGTGTTTCTTGAAAGTGTTCCATAATCAGGTAAGCGGTCCATGAAGTGGAGTATCTCCGTTGTTTCAGCCCTTCTGTCCCTTCATGGAGTTCATCGAGAAGCCTGAGGAGAGAGAAGGACAAAAATAAAACTAAATGTCAGCAAGTGATGTAGTGACTCGGTCCACAGCAGAGAGACTGAGCATTTTTGACCCAGTCCTCAGTGCTTAAAGCCAGATGTTGAACACCCCCCCAAATAAACTACTCTGTCCAAACCCAAGTGAACAATTTAGCTGAACTTGATCCAGCTATGATAAACATAGCTGCGGTACATTAACATTTCTGGGGCCTGTAGTTCAGTGACATTGTACTGTACTACTGTTTGTATATCAAAAATTTGGAAGTTTATTGAACCACGTTTTCCCCAAAGAAAATGTAGTGACGTGGTCACAACATCTACATTTTTTGGCTAAAAATATAAGCATGTCCACAATGTCCAACTCAATCTGTGTGGAAACTGGGTCACTGCCGTCTATATCCACTCAGAAGCCCGAGCAGCTGCTGCACTATTATTCTTGTACAACTCTGTAAAGCCCCCTGCGTTTAATTGGTTTGTTCAACCTGGTACAATGCTTCTCTTCAGCTGGCTTTCCACTACAAACCTGATGCTAAAAACAGCTGCTGTAAACTTATAAGGACACTATGCAAGTTGTTTTCCTTAGTGTTTTCATTTTCATCATTATGTAACTAGATTGTTTTTATTTAGGATATTTAAAATATGAGTGTGCATCACATTACAAGGCACAAAGTAGACAAGAGAAACTAAGTTCAGATGCATTTTTACTTAAGCAATCGAGTCATCTTCAGCATCTGAATTATTAGTTGGATTTTAGATTTTTATTGTTTCAGTTGTCTTGTTTTTAATGTCCTATTTTAAACATCTCACAACTAAACTGAATTACATCCAGGTCATAGTAGGCTGAAAAAAACAGAAAAAAAATCAACTGGACTAGATGTCTAGGTCGAAGACGTTTCACCTCTCATCCAAGAGCCTTCATCAGTTCTGAAGAAGAGGTGAAACGTCTTCGACCTAAAAATCTAGTCCGGTTGATTTTTTCTAAGTTTTTTTCAGTGAATTATTCTTTGGATTTTATGTCAGTAAAGCATGAATAGAAAGTCACTTTCAGTTTTTCCTGTTTAGGGGTCGCCACAGTCGACACACTGACGACTTGCATGATGACATTTGGCATGTGTTTTACGCCAGATGCCCTTCCTGACCCAACCCTGACTCGAACCCGGGCCACAGCAGCAAGAGCGCTGCGCCTTAACCACTAGCCTACCAGGGACGGCTGTCAGGAAAGCATGAACAAAAATCATATATTAAATGCGGCAATCAAGAAAAAAAAAAAAAAAAGAAGATATAAACAAAAAGATATTCAAATTCAGCTTTGATCCACTGGCTTCTATCTGTGAAGCTGAAGCCTTTGCCCGGTAAGTAGAACAATTACTTTTATGCAACATCTGTAAATGAATCGAATCAAACTTAATCCAGAGATTAGGATCAATATTCAGCCCTATTAAAAAGTGGCTCTCTTTGGACCAGTGGTGGAAAAAGTACTCTCAGATCCTTTACTTAAATAAAAGTAGCAATATAACAGTGTAAAAAATACTGTCCTGCATTCAAAATGTTACTTAAGTACAAAAGTATTAGCATCAAAACATGCTAAAAATACTCATTAAGAAGAACAGCACATTTCGCATTCCTGTATGTCATATTATTGTATTATAATGACTGATGCATTATTGTGCACATCACATTTCATGCTGCAGCTGGTAAAGAGGAGCTAGTTTTAACTGGCTTATGTGGGTTTAATTTGAAGTACTTCTGGTAGCTTGTGAGTTTTCCACCACAGATCAGTGATACTGTATTTTATGCATTAATCTGGTTCTGTAAAGTAACTCCAATAATAATACTAATGTAGTGGAGTAAAAAGCACAGTATTTACCTCTAAAATGTAGCGAAGTCAAAGTATGAAGTAACAGAAAATGAAAGTAAGTACAGATACCTCAAAACTGTACTTGAGTATAGTACTAAATGTACTCAGTTTTGACCCAACATCTTAAAACTCTTCCATTGTAATCTGATAACAAGGAATTATGCTTCTCTCTTTGTCATTGTCGACAATCCACCGACTAAAACAGAAAAGCCTTGAACAGCAGTTATTTTCTTCTGGCGAGTCTGTCACACCTTTTTCTGAGTAACAGCCTACATCTTCTTACAACCGGAGGTTAACTGTGACCTTCCTCTGATCCTGCACCAACTCTCCTGAGGCGGAAACCAGAGGAGCGCTGTCACATGTGAGTACAGTCTGACATTGCAGAGCGACAGTGGGGATGATCTAGGCTCATCCTGCATCTGAGAAACCTTCATACAGCAGGAACAAAAAGCACAACTTAATACCGACCTCCTAAAACATCAGAAAACTGTGAAAAATTAACACAATTTCCCAGAGACCAAGGTAATGTCTTCAGGTGGGTTTCTGTATTTGACCAACAGTCCAACTGGAAAATCTTCACATTACAGAACCTGGAATAACCAGCAAACAGTTTGGCAAGTTTGCTCAAAAAGGGGCATAAACAATTCAGCAAAAACATTTGTCTATCCTGTTTTTAAATCCTCTCGACTGTCACATATGAATCCTTTCTATAAACGGTCACAAAAGACAGGCAGAAAGTTTACCACACTAAGGAAAACGTGGTGCATTTTGCTTGGGAGATGCATAAATACACATGCTCTCAGTTTTGTCATCAGCTGATCTGAGCTGCAAATTCAGCATCGGTTTGTGCAAACAGCAGTGACACTTGGTATCAAGCATATCGGTTTGTGTGAACAGCAGAAGTGACAAACTGAGGCTAATCAGCCTAACAGTTTGTCTGACAGACTGGACTGAGGCTGCACGATGTTTGCGTCTTACCAGCTGATCCGCACGTCTGAAGCTCCCAGCCGGACCGCAGCTGTGGGGTGGAAACTGTCCGCTTTCTCCGGTGACCTCAGCTGGACAATCTGAAACAGGTGTGTCGATAACCGACTAGGTTAAACGGATCCACTCCCCAAGGTCTGCTAGCATCCACCAATCACCCGAATAGCTGTTGTTAACGATTTGCAAAATGCTACTGTAATGGTTAGGAAACTGATTTTTTTTTTTATTATCGCATTTTATAAGCCAAATTTCAACAGTCATTCATACGAGAGGTTCTAAACCAAGTCAAACAATGAGCAACAGTGTTACAATAAACTGACATAAAGCAATCAGACATCCCAGGTGCATAGCACGAAGCTAGCGCTGCTAGCAGCTTAGCCGACCTGCTAGATACGCTTAGCTTGGTAGCTAACACATTTGCTCACATACTCCTGCTGCAAACGGCTTTTGTTTTTGTTGTTTTACCTTGTAGTGCGCGATGTCTGGGTGCAAAAAAGCTCAGAAACACGGGGATTAAAGTGTGAAAACATCGAGGTAGGGGCGCACCGTGGGAGCGGGGTCTCTGCTGCCTGTCAGCGGGGCCTTTTCCTTCATCCATGAAAAACCAGTGAGAAGGGCCTGGCTCTCCATCGGCCCGGGAGGGCTGCCTTTCACTCGCTAACAAAAACTATTTCCGCTGGCCTGGTCCGATATGTCCATTGTCTGCCGCCACCAGGCTGCAGCTCGACCGCCTCACTGCTCGTCTTCGCCCAAACGGTGCCTTTGTTTTGTTTCCGTCGTGTTTTTCCTTCTTTTCACCTGGGTTGGCTGTTTTGCTCCCGGTGTTGGATTTTGCTGTCCCCCCTTGCAGACGACGGCTCCTCCGATGCTGCTAGCGTTAAAATGGTAGTTTCCTGTCTGCATAATGGTTCCGGGTAGAGCCAGGCACAGGTTGGTCTGTCCGGCCGCGACCACGCCGCCGCTGCTCCGCTCACATCCACCTCTGCCCTTCCGCCTGCAAAATATGGACCCTATCCAGCATGATGCTCATGAATAAATAAACGGTGTGCGCGCGTGCGCGTCTGGACTCCATTAAAAATAGATATCACTGTGCATAGTGACACTGTCACATGTCATTAAGCCCCGTGTGTGTGTTTTCACACTAAGGGTGTGAAATGTTAATTAGTCAATTAAAGATATCATTACGGCGCAGGCTGCATAACATTGCTGTGCGTGCGTGTGCCTGTGTGTGCTGTTGTGTGAATTTGCATTAGTCTGTGTGAAAGAGTGCATCTGTCTGTTTACATTGTGTGTGTGTGTGTGTGTGTGTGTGTGTGTGGTAGAGACAAAAACTGTGAAAACGGGCTGTAGTTATGCATGTGTGTGCTCCTGCATGCTTCACTGATGTGCACTAAGTAATCCTGTTGGATTTTCTTAATCCCCCTATTGTGCGACTATTAACTCTGGATTATATTCTGTATAAACACGGAATAAATGTACACAGTCTTTTTTAAATAGAGGCTGAAGGGGACAGTTAAAGGGTCAGTTCATCCAAAACAGCTACAAACTACCTAGAGAGCAGTTTGTTCATCCTGGGAGTTTTGACCTTATTCGTCAGGGTTTGGAACCATGTGCTGTCACCCTACTGTAAATTAAATAAATCAATTACTAGATACAATACATACATACATAACTATTATTACTTATTAGTTTATGGATGGAGCCTCTGGCGTCCCTATTCATTGGCATCATATCTATAAATGTCAACAGAAACGGATGTAATAAGTCCATTTCAAAGTTCTCCATCTTGTCAAACAGACAGCAGAGTCAGAGTTTACCTTAGAAATTATGGTAGGTCTTTATCCCCTCCTGTAATTTCCCCATTTTCTTAGTGTTACGACTAAGGAATTTAGTCATTTGTGTTAAAGTAGAGGGTGGGATGAGAAGGAGAGGTGTAGTTCATCTGGGTTGAGTCACTGTAAACTGAATATATTTGGGGTTTTGAACAAAAGTAAGCAATTGTCCTCAGTAAACTTGTGATGGTAGTTTTTCACCTTTATGTGACAAAAAAAATTGTAATATATAATCATTTATTGTAGCCCTTAAAACCATGCCATTACGCTGTGAATATAGCTGAAACTGTTTCATTATCAGTTAATCCACATATTACTTTTTTATTAAACAGTAAAAATGCAATAATAATAATAATAATGTCAAAAATTCCCATCCAAGGTGATGCTGTCAAATGATTTATGATAGGCCAATCCAATTCCCAAAGATATTTCATTTATAATAATATAAAAGAGAGGGAAAATGCATTTGAAAAGCTGGAAACCAGCAGGTGTTTGGCTGAATAGTTTTCTGCCCATCAACTAAGCAACTCCATGTTTTCTCACTAACTGTGAATATAATCTAAAAGCACAAAGAATCAATTTTTAACATGTAAGACAAACAAGATTGTGGGATTTTTATTTATTGTTATTATCAATTAAACAGTATGATTTCTACAAATGCAAGAATCGCTCACCAATAACAAAAGGGTTGCACATCCGTGAGACCTTTGTTTGGATATTTTTTGGAAACAGACATATAAGGGGATGTAATAAATAAATAAATGTATTTTACAATTTGAGGTATGCAGTAATGCTTTGAGGATACAAATATGCCTGTGCATCCCCTCTCCAGTGGTTAACACACACACACACACACACACACACACACACACACACACACGCACACACACAGACACAGATTTATCAACTGAGCATGGATTACAATATCTGCATGAGGAGAAATGAGATAGACATTAAATACACAACTGCTTTTCCATTTCCCCTCCTTTTTTGCTTCTCACTTTTGAAAGTTAATTAGATGTTTGCATTTTAAAAACCACAGAGCTTTTCTAGTCCCGCCAGCAAAAGGCAAGTCACAGTACATTGACCTTGCCAACCCGCTCAGGCTGAATTCACACAAAAACAACTCTTTTCATTGATTTGAATGGAGAAAGTGTGCTGCAGGATCACGTGGAGAAACAGCTGGTTCTGGTTTAACTTTTACATATTATCATGCAAGGCGCTGTGTTGCACAATCGTGTACGTGCACACGTGCATGAAGGCCATATTTCTGCTGTTTACCTCGAGATTGTCGTGATCCGGGATAAAACGGCTGCAGCCATAATAACTTTAAAGAGTTGTGCAATCCTGTTAGTTTGTATTACAAACTACTGTGCTGAGTTTTGTTGTGTAATAATCTTTAAACACAAGTCTGGCACAGGTCTGTGTAAATCCAGCCTTAAAGCAAAAGCTGCTGTCACTAAAACACTTTAATGAAACCTGTGTTTCCCCTTTCACATGTACTGTAACTTTAAAAAGCTGTTAATACTGCATGTGGAGTCACATTTGTGTCCTTAAGGTTCTGTTAAACCGAGCGCAAACAGCAGAAACATACTGTATTTAGGTCACACAGCATCAGCACAAACTTAAAAACCAAGTGACAAATTAACGCACTCAGTTGTTTCATTTCTATTCAAACACCAAAACTGAACACAATATAAACCTTCAATAATTAACATGTTTAAATGTTTGAAAAGTCCTCACTTTGGTGAACATAGCTCCATAAAAAGCTGTGATTTATCAATGCGCCTTTAAAAATAAACAATAAAAAAATAAAACAATGGCAAGAATAAAAAATTTTTACAAGCTGATATGGACACATAACGATGGAGACTCAGGTCTTAAAATCATCCTCATGTGCTGAAGACAGGAGCCGAGTTTGGTCAGAAATGAGGTTCGGCGTTCCTCAGAGGAGGAGGATGACACAGGGTTACACACAGGGGCACACAGATGGAAACAGATGCATGTAGATTTCTACACATACACGCCGTGACATCATAAGTCAGCACTATGACATCATCAAGACTGGCTTCTGACATCGTCATGCGGTTTGTCTTTTCTCATTGACTGCATCAGCGCTTTTTGTTCTTGAGAATACAAATGTTTTTTTGTTTTTTTTAAATTCCACTAGAAAGTTTAAATATTGAAAATCCAAGATTATATGTTAAAATTCACAGATTAAAAAAACAAATACATGTTCAGACAAAAAAAAAAGATCATGATAAGAGCGTTCATAGTCTGATCAAGGGGGAATCTTTACACATAATGATCATAAACCTATCAACATGTGTGCACATGTATAAATGGCTGGCAGCAAACACATCTGTCTTTAGAGAAATACAACTCAGAGACGAAGCTGAAAACCTCAAACAAGGCCTCATGAGTCCCTTAAACAACATCCATAAAGGGCAAATCCAGCCTGGATGGCTACAAGGTCCATCTCACAGCCGGGAAAACTACAACATTTACAGTTCGATCACCACTTCTCAAGTAGTCATGGCTGTGTGTTTTTACATGGCACACAAAAGCTCCTTTGCTTTGTAGAATTCCTCCTTTTTATATTTTCTCTCTACATAAGAAAAAAAAAATCTGGTGAACATATGCAAACATATCCACAAGCATGCTTCCAACACTGACACGCAGAAGAAGAAGTGGAGATGAGAAGCAGACACTATACAGAGCACAGACACTCAGAGATAAGTCGGTATAGCCCTTGGTGTGAAGAGTCCATTGTCCCCCCGCCTCATGTCCTTTCATATGAGGAGAGCAGCTCAACTTGCAGGTCACATGTGGCATCGAAGTCGAGGGTTTGTCTGAATATTAAAACAAAACCCTCGGCGTGCTGCAAACTCACAATGAAAGGATTAAAAGTGTGTCTGAGTGATGTTTGCTTTGCCGGGGTCAGTGTTAAAATGTCTGCATGAGGTTGATTCTTCTAATTAAAAACATTTGTCCAGTTATTACAGAAAGGGTCACAGAGCACAATGTTTCATAGATGATATACACCCACTAGAGTTCACTGTACAAAGGCTTTTAGTTAGCTCAAGTCTTATTTTTAAAATCCATACTGGATTTTAAGGCCCAGTCACACAACAAAGTTCATCCATATCCAAGTCTGGAGGATTAGCTGGTTAACTAAAATGACTAAAATGAGAGTGGTGCTGATTTTTATGGATATGGGTGAAACCACAACACATTTACTGGAGCTGTAGTTAGTTTTTTTCATTATTTTCTTGTTCTTGGGATCACACTCT